AATAATGATAATAATAATAATAATAATAATAATAATAATAATAATAATAATAATAATGATAGTAATAATGATGATGGTTATGGTATTTACAATGATAAGGTATAAAAATGATGACAATAAAAGTAGTAGTCATAAATAATAATAATAATGATAATATCAATACTATTATCAATAACATAAATAATAATAATAACAACAAATATACGTACATTCATAACATACAAGCACGCATTCACACACAACATCATACAAACACACGGGAAACAGACACACACACACATACACACGCACACACGCACACGCACACGCGCGCGCATACACACACACACACGCACACACACACGCACACACACACGCACACACACACACACACACAACGCACACACACACACGCACACACACACACACATGCACACACACACGGAAAAACACAACCCCCCCCCCCCCCCACACACACACACTATTTTTCTCATATTTTACTCCATAAAAGAATAAAAAAAAATGGAAACCCAGAAATCATTCGCTGAAAAAATAGAGGGAATTGAAAGGAAGCAAGAGGAAGAGGGAAGGGGGGAGGGGAAGAGGAGAGAGGAGAAGAGGGGAAAGAGGGTGAGAGAAGAGGGGAGAGGAGAAGAGGGGAGGGAAGAGGAGAGAAGAGGGAAAGGGGTGGGAAGAGGAGAGAGGAGAAGAGGAAGGGAGAGACGAGAGGGGGATAAAGGGAGAAGGAGGGGAGAAGAGGGGAAAAGGAGGTGAAGAGAAGAGGGGAGAGGGATGGGAAGAGGAGAGAGGAGAAGAGGGGAAAAGGGGGTGAAGAAAACAGGGGAGAGGGGGAAGAAGGGAGAAGGGTGAATAAGAAAGAGGGGAAAACTTGAAAAAGACACAAAAGGATACACAGAAGGAAAGAATGATACAAAGACAAACAAAATCGAGACAAAAGAAAGAAAGATAATAAAACAAAAGAAATAACCAAGTGAAAAATAAAAGGAAGAGACGAAACAAAAAGAGGGAAAGGGCGATAGGAGGGAGAGGAAAGGGGGGGGGAAGGGAAAAGGGTCAAGGGGCAATATCCTACCCCCTCCCCCGCCCCCCCTTCCACCCAACATGGACAAGCAAGGACGGAGATTGATGATAAGGGGGAGGGGGAGGGGCACCAAAGGGGGGGTGATCGAAATAGAGGGGAGGGGGAGGGGGAGGTGATAGACGGTTTTGGAAGGATCTGGGGATATGGGGTGGGAGGGGGGTGGGGGAAGCCTGAATGAGTGGGGGAGGAGAGGGGAGGGGACGGGAGGGGAAGGGGAGGGGGGAGGGGAGGGAGAGGAAGGAGGGTGGATTCTGAATAGGAGAGTGGAGGAGTAGGAGAAAATGAAGAGAAGGAATAGGAGAAGAAGAAGAAGAAGGAGGAAGAAAAGGAGGAATAGGAGGAAGAGGAGAAGGAGGAGGAGGAGGAGGGGGAAAAAGATGAAGGGAGAGACGAGAGGAAGAAGGGAAAAAATGGGGGAAGGAGGAGAAACGAAGAAGAAAGAAAAAGAAGTACGAGAGGAAGAGAAGAAAGAAAAAGAAGTACGAAAGAAAGAGAAGACAGAAAGACAGAGATGGAAATATGAAGGGAAACAAGCGAAGCAGAGAAAGAAAGAGAGAGAGAGAGAGAGAGAGAGAGAGAGAGAGAGAGAGAGAGAGAGAGAGAGAGAGAGAGAGAGAGAGAGAGAGAGAGAGAGAGAGAGAGAGAGAGAATATAGAAACAGACAAACAGAAAGAGAGAACGAAAATAAGATGCAGTGGCGGCATAGAGAGAATAAAAAACGATGATTGATGATGATGACGACGACGACGATAAAGATATAAACAGAGATAAAGATAAAGATAAAGTAAATAAAAATAGAGATAAAGAGAAAGTAAATAAAAATAGAGATAAAGAGAAAGTATATAAAATAGAAATAAAGATACAGGTAAAGATGAATAAGCAAATAAATAAATAAATAAAGTAAATAAAGAAAGAGATAAAGATAAAGATAAAGACGAATAAGGAAGAAGAGAGAGGCAAGAGAACCGAAGGGAAACAAGAGAGAAGAAGGGGCCTGTTCGCGCCCCAGGTAATGATGTATGATTGCTCCCCCGCCCTCGCTTTCTGGCTTCGCGGGCGGCCGGGTGGGCGGCGCTGACCTTTCCCTCCCACCCTCGGCTGACCTTTCGAGCGCTCTCTCTGTTTTTTTTTTTTTCTTGCGTTTTTCTCTTCTTATTTTTATAAAACTTTGTCTTGATTTGTATTTTTTCCTCTTTCTCGCTCTCGTTCTCTTTTTCTACCCTCTCTAACCCTTCCTTCTCCCTCTCACCCTCCCTTCCCCTCTCCCTCCCACCCTCTCACCACTCTCTTTCCGCCTCTCCTGCCCACCATCACTCTCTCTCTCTCTCTCTTTCATCCCTCCCTACCCTTCACCCACTCATCCCCTCCCCTTCTCTCTCTTTCCTCTCCCTCCCCCCCCCCCCACCCAGACTCTCACTCTCCCCCAACTCCTCCCGTCCCCCACCTCTCACCCCCCCCCCTCCAGTCCCTTCCCTTCCCCTCACCACTCACTCCCTCCCCCACTCCCCTCCCCTCCGCCCCCACCACCCATCAGCCAACACGACTCAACACCCATAATGCATTTGTCAAAACCCCGCCTCCTCGCTTAGCTTATTATTTACAACGGATTAAAACCTTCCCCGAAGCGGCATTCGAAGCGCAAGCCCCACACAATTCGCACATCTAAAATCCCCCCTTCGATGCTTATTCGCACAACAACGCGTGTGGTTCGAGCGCGTATCATATCTCTCTCGAAGCGCGGCCCCACAATTCGCACATCTAAAATCCCCCTTCGATGCTTATTCGCACAACGGTTTCCTGTGGTTCGAGGCTCGTATTATTTCTCTCTCCGTGTCTCGAAACCGAAGCCGAAGCCGCCGCCACGAGGATGCTGTATCGCTATTGAATTGGGAGAGGCGGCCGTGTTGTATTATCTACTGTATTCAGCGGGGAATCCATAGAGGAATTCCCTGAAGCGAATCAGAAGTCCTCTCGTGCTGTGATAACCCGTTCGGACCCGCCTCTCCCTTCCTCCCTTTCTCCCTCTCGCCCTTCTTCCTTATTCTTTATTCTATTTCTCTTGTTTTTTTCGTTTTTTTCTTCTTCTCCCTTTCTATCTCTTCTTACTTCACTCTTACGCCTTCCCTTTTTTTCTTCTGATTTCTCTCTTCTTCCTTTCCTAATTCCCTATTTCTCTCCTTCAAGAAACCTCTATTTTCCCTTATGTTTTCTGTCTCTCCCACCTATCTTCTCTTCTAGTTTACTACCCTTTCTCCGTCTCTCTTTCCCTTACATTTATTTTTTATCCTATTGTCTCTTTTTTTTCTTTCTTGCCTTCTTCTATCATTTTTTATTTACCCATTTCCCTTTTCCTATCTCTTATTTTCTAAAAAAGAAAAGAAAAGAACTATTCCTTCCTTATAAAATATGAATAAATAGGGAATAAAAACAAAAGTACATGTCCATTAAACACCACTAAAATAAACAATACCAAAATAAGGAACCACACAAGAGAGAAGTAAAAAAAAAAAGAACCAACATATAACAAACAAGCAAACAAAAATAAATAAACAGAAAATAAGACAAGCAAACAAAATAAACAATATCAGAAAATAAAACAACCAATTAAAGAGACACACAAATACACAGACGAACACACAAACCTACAAACAAACAAACAGAAAAAAAGAAACGGAAAAAAACACAAACCCCAAAATAAACCCCCAAAACAAACAACCATCCTTTAACTCACTGGTGCAATTGACGAGTCCGATTGCTCCTCGCCCTGGTCCCCGGCAGCTCGTAGCCCCCAAAATAAACCCCAAAACAAACAAAAACAAACACAAACCCCAAAACAAACAAACAAACAACCATCTTTAACTCACTGGTGCAATTGACGAGTCCGATGCTCCTCGCCTGGTCCCGGCAGCTCGTAGCCCCCAAAATAAACCCCAAACAAACAAAAACAAACACAAAACCCCAAAACAAACAAACAAAACAACCATCTTTACTCACTGGTGCAATTGACGAGTCCGATGCTCCTCGCCCTGGTCCCCGGCAGCTCGTAGCCCCCCAAAATAAACCCCAAAACAAACAAAAACAAACACAAACCCCAAAACAAACAAACAAACAACCACCTTTTACTCACTGGTGCAATTGACGAGTCCGATGCTCCTCGCCCTGGTCCCGGCAGCTCGTAGCCCCCAAAATAAACCCCAAAACAAACAAAAACAAACACAAACCCCAAAACAAACAAACAAACAACCATCCTTTAACTCACTGGTGCAATTGACGAGTCCGATGCTCCTCGCCCTGGTCCCCGGCAGCTCGTAGCCCCCAAAATAAACCCCAAAACAAACAAAAACAAACACAAACCCCAAAACAAACAAACAAACAACCACTCTTTTACTCACTGGTGCAATTGACGAGTCCGATGCTCCTCGCCCTGGTCCCCGGCAGCTCGTAGCCCCCAAAATAAACCCCAAAACAAACAAAAACAAACACAAACCCCAAAACAAACAAACAAACAACCCTCCTTTAACTCACTGGTGCAATTGACGAGTCCGATGCTCCTCGCCCTGGTCCCCGGCAGCTCGTAGCCCCCAAAATAAACCCCAAAACAAAAAAAACAAACAACCCCAAAACAAACAAACAAACAACCATCTTTAACTCACTGGTGCAATTGACGAGTCCGATGCTCCTCGCCCTGGTCCCCGGCAGCTCGTAGCCCCCAAAATAAACCCCAAAACAAACAAAAACAAACACAAACCCCAAAACAAACAAACAAACAACCACTCTTTTACTCACTGGTGCAATTGACGAGTCCGATGCTCCTCGCCCTGGTCCCCGGCAGCTCGTAGCCCCCAAAATAAACCCCAAAACAAACACAAAACAAACACAAACCCCAAAACAAACAAACAAACAACCACTCTTTACTCACTGGTGCAATTGACGAGTCCGATGCTCCTCGCCCTGGTCCCCGGCAGCTCGTAGCCCCCAAAATAAACCCCAAAACAAACAAAAACAAACACAAACCC